AGCGGAAAGCTGAAAAATAAAGCACCAAACATATGAGAAAAAGAGAGATCGCAATTGAACTCACTTCCTAAATTAAAATTTTTGCCCCCCTCTTTGTATGATTTGTTGTTTTGAGATGCTAATAAGGCTAGTTTTATTACCATTCAATAAAGCCAACTTTGTTAGATGAATGCATAGTGGGAAAAACTTATATTGTTTTTTGCATAAAATGACTTATTTGAGCTCACTTGATTTTTTTAGTAGTTTATCCTTCAAACATATTCGGATTTTTGTATGAAATACAATGATGAGATATTCTCTTGCTCTTCCTAGTATTCCTGATATTAATGATGTTCTACCCCCCCTCCCTCTCTTTTTATAAAAAAATATCAAAAAAATTCAAAAAAATCATTAGGACCGAAATATAATCGTTACGCTTATTCGACACAATTTCAATTTTTGTCACTCGGCCATGTATGGGCTAACAGACAAAGTAGTCAAACTTTAGTGATTTTTCTCGTTCATAAGAATACCTAAAAAAAAAATGAAAATTGCACTGCTTATAAATGTTTTAATATTATTTTAAAAATATATATTAAAAAAAAAAAAAACTCATTTCGAGTACAAAGTAGATCGTGGTCGCAATTTGACCCATATTATATTTTTGTCATTCAACCTCTCTCTCTCTTTCTTTTTCGCTTTCTTACTCTCTCTCTCTCTCTCCCTCTCTCTCTCTCTCTATATATATATATCTATATATATATATATATATATATATATATATATATATATCTTGTGCAAACGCTTAGTCCTATTGCTTTAGCTACCTTAGGTTTGTGTTCCTTGTGCCTACACAGTAGACAATTGGTAATTCGCAACCCTAAGGATGTGGTAGATTAGGCTTCAGCGTTTGTGTTAAGGTGACACATTATCAGCGGCGGGGGATCGACACATAAGTGGGTTTTAATGGGGTGAAAGTTGTTGGGGAACCGGTCCATCACATTCTTACAGACTACATACAACGATCGCGCCTGGAACCGGCGCGGTAAAAAATTGGAGGACCAGTACTCCTTGCATGTGAACTACAAAAGGGCCTTCAGACCTAGACGTTGAGGTTCGTTTTTTAAGAACAGGGAGGTCAACGCTGGAAAGGCGTGGGAAGGCATAACAAAACAAACATTTTGCAAGAGACAAATTTTGTGATTTTTTATGTTCGGAGGAATTTGCATAAAAAATTATAAATTAAAATTTAAGAATTCATAGATTAAAACGTGTTTTTTTCAAGAAAAATATCAAAGTATTTTTCGAAAATCATTTCGTCTTTTAGACCTATATTCCATTTTTGTCACTCAGCCATGTGTGGGCCAACGAAAAAAAAACTTCAGCTTCAGTGATTTTTCACGCAAAAAAAAAAAAAAATATATATATATAAAAATTGCGATGCTCGTAAATTTTGTTGTGATTTTTTCCATTAAAAAAATAACCATAAAAAAATATTACCTGTGAAATAGATCACGGCTACAATTTGACTCATATTTCAATTTTGTCATTCAACCTCCCTCCTTCTCTCTCTCTCTCTGGTGCTCCCGCCCCCCCCCCCCTCTCTCTCTTTTGTACGGGCGCTTGGTCTCATTGCTATAGATACCGTAAAGTTGTTTTCCCCTCACCCACGGGGTAGACAATTTGTAGCCCTAAGGCGGCAATATAGCGGGCTTCAACATATGTGTCAAGGTGTTGCATTTTTGGTTGCGGGCGGCCAGGACGCAAGTGGGTTCTTAGGGGCAAAAGTTTTTGCGGGACCCGTCCTTGGCGATATTGCGGATGACCTAGAACTACCTCTCGTAAAACCGAGACTTTTGGAAATGGAACGGCTGGTCCTCAGGTGGAAGTGGACCCAAAAAGAAAGCAAGAAGGGGTGGCGTGTTCGGGAGTTTCATGCGCAAACTATTTAAGGCGGATGGTGCCGACAGGTCCAGTCTTGCTATTTGCACGAGGTAACTTTGACGATTTTTTTGCTCGAAGGACTTCGCAAAAAACACTGAAAAGTTTGGAATCCATAGACTAGGTCGTGATCGTTTAATAAAAAATCTAAAAACAATTAAAAAAAATCGTTAAGACCGTTAAATAATGAACGTGTCGATTCGACACATTTGCCATTTTTGCCACTCGACCACATGTAGGCCAATGGAAAAAATACTCCAACTGCAGTGATTTTTTGTGCTCAAAAGAATGTATGAAAAAATGATAAATTGAAGTGTTTGCATTTTTTTTTCCTCAATTTATTCGTGTCATCCTTAGGGCCATGCAATGTTTTATGTATCGTTTCAATTTTAACGGATGTCCCGAAGGACGTGCTCACAATTTTTGTAGTGATCTCTCAAGGAAAAATATTAAATAAATAAAAAAATAATTTCAACAATAAAAATGTATCGAGGCCGTAGTTTGACCCATATGCCGTGTTTGCCATTCAACTTTTTTTTTTTTTTTTTTCCTCTCTCTCTCTCTCTCTCTCTCTCTCTTGCTGGCTCGTGTGCGCTAGTGCGCACTTAGTCCTATTGCTTTGGCTACCTTAGGGCTGCATTCCCTGCGCCCACGCGGTAGACAAATAGGGTCTACAACCCTGGGTTAGGGGCCGGTTCAAGAGACTGGTACTATGTTCGCAGCCCTTAGGCTGCGGTATAGTGGGCTTCTACGTCTGTGTCAAGGTGTCGCATTTTTGGCGGCGGGCGACCAGGATGCAAAGTGGTTTCTTAGGGGGCAAAGAAATTTGGGGGACCGGTCCTTGTCAAAATTGTGAACTACCTACAACTAGCTCTGGTAGAACCGGGACTTTTGGAAAAATGAAGGACCGGTCCTCGGGTGGAAGTGGACCGCAAAAAGAAGTGGGGGGCATTGGACCGGTCCTCGGGTAGAAACGGACCCCAAAAAGAAGTGAGGGCATGTGAACTGCAAAAGAGCCCTCATACCCAGGCGTTGAGCCCCGTCTTGTCAAAACAAGGAGGTCAGGCACAACGAAACAAGTGTTTTGCAAGAGGCAACTTTGACGATTTTCTGCGCTCAGATGAACATGCACAAAAATATGAAATTTTGAGAATCCATAGATGAGGTCGTGTTCTTTTCATAAATAATAATAGAACATTTACAAAAAATCATTTGGACTGCGAAATAATCATCGCGCCGATTCAGCACATTTTCCATTTTTGCTGCCATGCCCGGGCCAACTAAAAAAATACTCCAAATTCAGTGAATTTTTGCGCTCAGAAGAATGCGTGAAAAAACCTGAAAATGGGAGTACTCGTAGATTTTGTTGTGATCTTTCCAGGAAAAACGTTACATAAATTAAAAAAAAATCATTCCAACTGTGAAATAGATTGCGGCCGCAATTTGACCCATATTT